TACATAAAGTATTATAGGGCTCGATGATAGCAGTTCTAAAGTCATTCAGCAATATCAAAAAATATAAAGTGTAATTCTAAGAAAATTTAAAATACAAAATTAAAGTACACCACACTATGATTGTAACTATGCAAACAAAATGAAAAAGTGCATAATGTTTCCCACAGTGCTGGCAGAAGTAGTCATTTGGAACTCTATTTTCAAAAGTCTTAGAAATGTTCACATCATTTGACTGAACTTTTGGAAGTTTATTTCCATTCTGGAACTATAAGAATATTGCCTAAAGTGAAACAAAAATGTCCAGGAAGGATACGTTTTATTATAGTACTACAGTATATATTTTTTTTTACTTTGTGGAGAAACAAAAACACCTAAATGTATAGGAAACATTATATGAATCGGAGCTTCTTTGAAAAAGGGAAAACTATAGATGTATAAGAAAAAGCAGTATGCATTTTTAAAAAGCAATGTAGAAAGTATGAACTATGTTATGTAAAACTATACATAAAAAGAAAAGCTGCATGAATTAAACATCACAAGCATACATTATTTTAGAAATGAAAAATTGTAAAATTGCACCTGTACTGAACTTGTACAGATTTGTATGCCTGTCATTATTTCCTAAAAAACACAATTATTTACATAGAACTTACACTGTATTTGATATTATACATAATCTAGAGATTTGATTGTAAATATGTATCAAGATGTGTGTGTCACATGCAGTATTTCTTCATTGTATATAAAGGACTTGAACAGCCTCCTTTGTCGATATCTGCAGAAGTTGGCCTAGAACCAATCCTTTGCAGATACCAAAGGACAGGTGTATTTACAGATTGCAAGGAATTTTACATGCACTATTCATTATAAAATAATCCACTTCATTATTCTATTGAATTCTGACATAGACGCTGTGTGAGACAGATATTGCTGTCATATTGCAATTGCAGAAACTGAGACAACGAAGTTCAGTAAGGTCATCCAGGTCATGTGAATCATGTTTGTCTGACTAACACTGACCTCATGTTGGATACAGCTTACTTCCACACATTATATTCTATCAGTTTCCAAGAAACTTCCTAATGATTTTCATCAGGAATGATAAGGCATTGCACCACGGCAAACATGATGCAGATCCCCTGAGCGGTTCATTCATTTACTTAAAGAGGGTGACTTTGATTTGCTCTATACCTAATCTCTCCACTGTCCTCCAAATGATTAAATTTTTACAAGTTAATTTTTGATATTTCAATGCTTTTCCCACACATTTCCAATCCCTTGATATACTCAACTAATTAAGCAGTGATGCGGACTTCGCATGAAGTACTTTTTAATTAGCCACAGTGAATCCCAAATTACTCAGCCTTGGCTCAGGACTCTTAGTATTCAATTTGGCAATCTCATGTACATAAACTCTTTATTTCAATAGTGACATCTGAGATTGAGCTCAATAAAGGTTTCTATGGAAACAAACATCAATATCAAAACTTTCCAAAACACCAGAAGTCTAAAAATGAGTGACAGAAACAGTAGCTATCAAAAATCTGGGAAGGTTAATTCTACTTTTTCACACTAAATTTTATAAATGTGCTTGTATATTCATTAAAAGATTAGAGAATTTATTTATTATGCAAGAAACTCAAGTGCATAAGAATAATATCAGAAGTAAAAGCTAACCTTAATTGTCAATAACATTGAAGGCAGTTTCAAAGAAACATAGGGAACAAAGCTGAAAAGCAATATAAATGTGTGTATACAGACAATATAGCTAACACTGCTAAAGATAAAATTCTGGATCTTCAGCAGCAGAAAAGATTAATATGTCTTATGAATCCATTTCAACTAGAAAATTAAATAAGCATTTGCCTTGCTTTGAACAAGAACACAGAAATGTTTTCTGAATTTGACACTAGAATGAAACACAAACAAACATACCTGAGAAATGTTAAAATTGCTCTCTAAACTGACTTTCAGAGTCAAACAAAACAAAGGAATAATTCATAAATTTTCAAGTAACTATTTCCTGCATTACTCAAGCATCAGCCTTAACGTTGACATTTACATGTGCTGTGAAAATTGAAAATCTAAAGTGTTAGTGTACACGTACATAGATGCAGAATTTAGCTTATTTATGAGAGCTTAGTTTGCATTATATTTTCCGATAAATCCGTATGTTTAATAAGCAGTGTTCTGATATTTACTAATGAAATATGATGACATAAATAGATGTTAGATTTTATCAAAGATTTTGTCTGCATCTTTTGAGATGAACGTGTGATTTTTGTATTTCTTTCTGTAGATATGATGTATTACTATTTTCCCACCTTTTATCTTTAGTCTATAAATCTGAGGGAAATGTATTTCTTATACACAGCATACCGCCAAGTTTTCTTTATTGGTGCCCTCTGCTATTCTAGGTCTTTTGATTGGAGAACTGAGACCATTCATACCAAGAGTTACTGCTGACAGGTATTAACATATTCCTGCCATTGCATTATTTTCTTTCTGATTACTTTCCTTTTCATGCTATTTAACTGTTTACTTTACCTGTTGTATGTATCCTATTAGACCTTTTGTCTTTGTCAGCTTCATTGTTTCTTTCTAGAATATCTTTGAGAAATTTTTGGAGTATTGGTTTAATGTTTATGAATATATTCAAGTCTCTATCATGGAACTATTGGAAATATCTTATTTCTTCATCAATTTTGAAGGATACTTTTGCAAAATATATTAATATAGGAGGAAAATTGTTGCCTTTTTATATTTAATTATTTTACCTATAACAAAGGGGGCAAAAGCATTCACTGAAGCAAAGAATCTCTTTAATAAATAGTGCTGTGAAATCTGGCCACTGACGTACTGAAGATTGACTCTGGACCCCTGCTTCTTACCATGTGCTAAAATAAATCAAAACAGATCAAAGATCTAAATGTTAAAGCAGACACAATCTGCTCAAAGATAAAATAGGTGAAAGTCTTGAAATTGTATGACTTCAAGGACTTTCTGAACACAGAACCCTGGTTATGCAGGAAATAGTACCTAGAATCAACCAATGGGATCACTTCACATTAAAAACCTTCTTTATAGCAAAGAGGGCATCTAGGGAGTGAAGAAATAACTCAAAGAATGGAAAAACATTTTTTCAAGTTGTTCCTCAGACAATGGATTAATACCTAGGACATTTAAAAAAATAGACACCCTAATTAAAAGTCCCTCAAATGGAGACTTGAAATGAACAGATACTTCTTAGAAGAAATACAAATAGCCAATAAGTGAATAAAAAATTATTCAACAACATTGACCATTAAAGAAATATAAATTAAAGTGCCTCTCATTCCAGAAAGAATGAGTATCTTCAAGAAATCAAATAATAACAAATACTTTCAAAACTTCAGAGAAAAAAGAAGGCTTCTACATTATTGGTATAAATGTAAACTAGTAAATCCACTATTAAATCAGTATGAGGATTGCTCAAAAAATTAAAACTAGAAATTCCATTTGACCCAGGTATTTCTTTTCTATATCTCTTCCTCCAAAGACTTAGTGATACCATATTAATGTGATTCACACCACAATTCATAATAGCTAACACTTAAAAGGAGTCTATATGGCCAGAAACTGACAAACACATGAAGCAAATGTGGTATTTATCTTCAAGGGAGTACTATTCTTTCCCAAATAAAAAATAAATATGAGTAATTTTTAGCAAAATAGGCACAGATTGAGACTATAATGTTAAGTGAAATCAAACAGAAACAAGCTTAAATATTCCATGGTTTCTCTTACAGGGAGAAACCCAAATTATTAAAAAGTACACAATAAAAGATAGATAGTAGGAAGTAAGAAAATACTCTTTTATCAAATGGGAAGGGATCCATAGAGAGAGGAAGAGGGAAAGAAGGGAAAGGAAGAGAAAGTACAAAGAATTAAGATAAGCTATGTGCATGTATCAATTCCTCACAAGGAATGTAAATATCGTGTACTGCAAACATGTACTAATAATTTTTTAAAAAACAATGACTTTGTGATATAGGCCACTAAGAGATCTCATGTTTAATGCATCCCCAATTAGCCCATGCATCCTTCTCCAAGCTGCACTTCCTTAGGTCCTGCAGGTCTTGGTCAGTGTTGACACTGTCTTTCCATTGGTTCAACCCAGTACATAATCTACCATCATGGGTAGAACAGTGTAATCCAGTCTGAATAACTGAATTCAAATGACACTATGATAGACCAAATTTGATTTGTCTTTGTGCCATAATACTAAAATCAACAGGGGAAGGCAGTGAATGCCCTTATGTAGCAGTGATGATGTCCATAAAATTTGCGTAAATGCTAATACTTACGAAAGTTACATAGCAATGATAATGCTTACGTGTTAAGACCAAGGTGGGGTCTAAGGGTAGCCTGTGGGGATCCCCAAGTCCCTGAAGAACCTGAGATAATGTGGTGCCCCCTTCCTGGCATATTATCAATGAGCAGCACACAGGAAGTATCTTTCCAGTTGGGGCCATTGTTCTGGTTGACAGAGCAGAATCCAATTGATTAGAACCTGTATCCACAAAAACCATTTTGATTGGGTGGCCTAAGATGGCATCATCTCTTCCTGCCTTGATTTGTAAATTAAAGCAACTCCCAAAAGGGAAAAAAGCTAGTGTGGCTTACTTTGGTCTCTGTCCAGGACCTGCTAAATACATACACAGTGAAAGGAAATCTCCTCTCTGGATTGAATAATAGATATGTGATTTCTCAATTTTATTTGCATCTAATTATATTATTTCTTTATCACTGGTCCTACCAGAGAACAAAGTAGTTTTTCTAGAATACAAGAAGCACTTGACTCCCTGAAGGGAAACATTTTTACTTTATTCTATTTAATAAGAGGGCTATGTTATCTTTTTAGATCTTTGACCCTAGCACCTTTTTTTAATCCACAACCAGAAATAGAGCCAGAGGAGATGACTAAGGCTATGAGTTGTCAGTATGTGAATAAGAATTACCTGTGCAGATTCTTTTAAAGTTGGGGTTCTCCAGAAGGTGTCCTGGTAGACGGCACTGGAATCGGTGTTGCCAGAACTCAGGGAACCAGGGATTCCTCGTGTTTGTATCCAGCCTTAACTTCAGGAAATAATCATCAAACGATCTGACCTCTGGAGACTGCAGCTTTATCGTGATGCCCCCATTCGCTTCTACTTCATAGCCTTCGATGACTTCATCTCTGTCTGCCCATCCATCACTACAAAATATAGAGATTGGGGTAGGGAGAGAGAAAGACAAACGTCTCACAAATAGAACTCAGAGTCAGGTATAAATGAAACAACCCATAAAAGCTTACACTCTACTTTAAGCTAGCATTGCTACACATCAATATTTCTATTTTCTGGTAGAAAATGGTGAAAACAGCACATCCTGGTCATTTGTTCTCCAAAGTAGTGAAAGAAATAGTGAAGTTTATGATCATTTTAATGACTAAAGCTCACTGAACATTCACTATACCTCAGATTCAGTGTTATTTCTTTTGAAAGTGAATGAAAATGTTCAACAACTGCCTAAAGTCTCACAGGGCTCAGACAACTTGGTTCCCAGGTCTAGTCCTCTTTATTACTAAATCACAAAGCCTATTAGTTACAATCCTAGCCATAAAAATGAAACCTAGGCTCATAAGGCCTCCTCAGTACAATCTCAGCAAGGCTCCACAACTGCAATCAAGAGCGGTGTCTGAGTGATGCTATTTGTAGTAGAAAATTTATTTCACCCTGAACTACTCCAAGCATAGTATTTGCTTGTGGACATTATTCAGAAATGCCTCCCCAAGAAAGAGGCAGAATTTTTCCTGAGGCTATTTCAAAATAACAGTACTAATGGAAAATAATCTCATCCCAAATGGAAAAGAATCTTATTTTCTTTTACTAAATGGGAATTTATTAATATTGTATTCAGTGGATTAGAAGGTTTATTTTTTTTTTTTTATTTTTTTGGAAGAGTCTACAGGGTGTTCAGGGTCTCTCTACTATATAGTGATCTGCCTGTTCACAGCCTCCCAAGTGCTGGGATTACAGATGCACGCCACCATGCCCAGTCTCAATTGCTGCATGCCTCTGGGGCGAGGCCAGCACGGCAGGCCCGGGAATTGAACCCCTGACCCCTGCACCTGCTTGTGAGTGCTTTAATCTTCTGAGTTACTTGGCTAGCCCTGGATTATAAGTTTTAACATGGGAACTTCTCATAGAACATGAGATCTGCCATGAGAGATGGGGCTCTGTTTAATTAGGTGCACATGTGAACCAGATCTAAGAGAGTACAGACAGAAAAGCGACACCAAAGTTGATCAAGATTTCTGCAATGGGTAAAAAACACTGAGCTCACCACTGCTGAAACTGGACATGGACGGGCTTCTAAGTGCTAGAGAAGGAGCAGAACAGGACCAGAGGACATTGGAGTGGAGCCAGCCAGTATACTGAGTCCTTGGTGTCCCTAATTGCCATGCTATGCTCCCAAGAAAGTTGGAGAAAAGGGGGTTTGCATTCATTCCTGATTATTACATTTCAAAGGAATGTCTCCGGAGTAATTTTCAAAGGGTGTTATGTGCTTATGAGGAAAAAAAGACACCAAGCAAGTATTACAAATCCTATCAAGTTAAAATGCATACTCGAACAACAAGGGTGGTCTGGAGAGTTTAACTTAATTGGTGTGCCTGAATATGTGTGTGTTGGAAATGATATCTCCTTAAGAAAGTGAGGTATAAGTAAAAGGAAAGCAGGATCTTGAGGACTAACTAATCAAGAGAGGGAAAGGAGAAGAGCTAGGAAACATGACAATGTCAAGCCATACAGTTATATGTAGAAGATGGGCAAGGCAATGATCCT